ACATAAACGCGGCACCACCTCACAACACAGTAGTCTGGATGGTCGCTGTACGCCCTATGCACCACAACATCTTGGGATAGACTACTCTTCGTCCGCCTCTAACTGCTGTGAACCTGCAAAAATTGATGCAACATTTGTCAGGGAAGCCGTACTGCAGGTTGGCATGTTTGATTTCATCACCTCAATGCGCACCACCTCTTGGTTTCGGAATCACAAGTATCCTTAAAAGTGCTTCTTTCGGTCTCTTCAGACCTGGCAGTGCCAGGGACAACCAAATGCGCCATTGTAATCAGAGCTGACGGCAAACAATTGACCTATTAACGCAAAATGCTCATATCATATCCCTACACACGCCAGGGATAAGGATTTCATGTGCTGTGGAAATCTGAATTTCTAGCACCTCCGCTCGCGCCAGAGCTTGCACACCGTGGACTCCACAGCCTTCAGGGCGGTGTCTTTGCTGTGCAGCTCACCTCTTCAAATGTCTTGGCTTCTGGAGGGGACAAGTTCTTCTTCTTCTTCATTTCTTGGAACCAGTGCCAATGTCAGCACTGCGCAAGCATGCTTTTGCACGGAACGATTACCTGCACTGCCAGAGGCCATGCACATACACCCATGCTCCAGTCAGCGCGTAAGACACCAGCTGCCAAGACAAGCACATGCAAGTTTTGGCCACGGCAGGCAATAATAACTTTGCAAGGTGTGCGAGGAACGAAATGATCGCTCCACGGCCATAAACGAGTCAGAACTGCACATCTTCTGTTTGGTAACATCTAGCTTTTTCCCAACCGTCACCTCATCCATCGCCTTGGCGTTCCAGCTAACCTTCAACCACCCTCCTTTTCTATCTGCGCGGCTGGACCAACGCTCCCACGCCACTGATTGCAAACCGTTTCTCATGGTCGCTGTGCCAGATTTCATGCATTCTCCACTGGATTAGGTACGGTTCAGCTATAGCAAAAACTTACTGCCGTATTCGACATACTGGTAGGTTACCGTACATAAACCAACAAAGCCCACTAGAGCCCAGGGAAATGCCCTTTAAATAGTTCCGATTATGACTACTCTTTTCAAAAGATGCGGCCATCTGACAGGCATCGCTTCTAATGCCTGACACTATGAATTTCCATAAATTCTGTAAGGTTTCATTAGAATTGTTGCCTTACTAATTCGCAATAGCAGATGTGCTAATTATAACCTTGTTGTCCAGCCATATAAGGCCATTTACTACTGTTGAATCGCCTGAAATTATCCTCAAAGCATATGCACGTAACAATTACTGTAAATATATTTTCTAATAATTTCTCGATGTTTGAAGGCAGTAATTTGGCCTTTAGTTTCAGGCCGTTGTGTGAACTTGGATATCAGATTCCATCAAACATTACCACGAAAATCTTGCAGTCTTGATTCTCAAACAATTTAACTTGTTCCACTGTTCACTCGGTGTGCTTTCCGCTAATCACTGATTGGCGGGTGAACACTGCCGATCAGTGTTACAGATCCGCAGTCCATGCCAAGCCCTGAGTGGTAGCCATGATGTTGTTTCACAGGTGATACCGGCGCCTGCATGGTTACTCATTTAATCGCCATATGTGTTACTCTTTGAGTGCAGTAAGAGTTTGACTAATGCGAATCAAACAACACCGATCACACCAGAGTATTCAGCTGTTAGGTTCGAACACAATGAGCACACAAGAGAGGCTCTTCAACTCACGCTGCGTCCCTATTTCTTCCACCTTTCCTCCCCACAATCCTCAAGCATACCCAATGTAATCCATATGCACAGGGCATTTTGCCGTTTTCCAAAGTTTTGATGCGATTCTGGCTTCCCACGTCGGCACATCCCATGATGACCAATACAAGCTTTCCCGATGTAAAGGACGGCGGTCCATTCTGACCGTCATCCCCGGAGACAGCGCAGTCTAATCACAGCTGAACGAGCAGCTGAGCCACGTCGGCAGCCTCAGCACCACGTCAGTTGAGGGTGCACTCAGCGAACAAGATTTGCCCCTCGCGCGAACTGGCTCTTCATGAAGAACTGCTTGCCGCTAGGATTTCAACGACCCAAATTAGCAGCGACGGCAGGGGAAGCTTCAGACGAGCGGCAAACATCCAATTGACCGTCAAGCGTGCAAGCGCACTTGTAGAACCTCTCACAACTGCTCCCAGAGCGCCACGAACGGCCGTAGCCACGCCCCAAAGATCAGCGAGGGAAGGGCACAGGTCAACCCCACGGGATGGGGCAGCCTTGTCCACAACATGGCAATACAATACACGAAAGATGCTTCTTTCCCCCTCAACGAAGCTGTGCAGGGACGAAGGTTGGTCACTTTTGGCCAGCAGCACGACCGCGCTGGCAGTGATGGTCTTGAGCGGCAAGGAAAGCGGCTCAGAAAAGGCATTGACTGGCCGTGACGTTCGAAAAGGTCGAGCGCTACTGCGCTCAGGCCGTGCCGAACGTTGTGCACACGGCCAGGGGAGTCAGGCAGCCAGGCTGAGTGCCCAGACTGCCGCGAGAGGCACACGCAAAGGCCGCGCTACCGTTCTTACAGCTGCCGGGCCGAGTGCAACAATACAGAGTTCCTTCCAGCGTTCGCCATACCCCAGTACTTGTAACCCACCGAGCTCTGGCAAATACCCCCCATTCCTAAGAGATGCTCTTTTGACACCCGGAATCGTTCTGCCAGACATGTTGTGTCACCGCAACTCAACCCGGCACGCCCCACTGCCCGGAATCAGCCACCACGTAATGCCCCAAGGGCCACGTTCCCATCAAACAGCCACACTTCCCGCGGTCGGCAATCACGTGATGCCCAAAGGGGCATATTCCCATCAAACAACCACGTGGCGCCTCCACGCACCTCTCCTGGCTCCGTCTCGCCGCGGTCCATGGCAGACCGCCAGACGGACAGCCCCTAAGCAAACGCACGCATCCAATGGAAACTTGGGTGCTCCTCAGTATTCCAAGGCGTTTTCCCGGCGTGTCTAACTCATGTGTCTCCGCGTGATGCGCTGCCACGTACTGGAGTTGTGCTCAACATCTTCACGACATCTTAGTGGACTCTTTGGGCGTATGATGAAGTTTCCACAGTCTATCTTTGTCACCAAAGTCATCTCCCTGCGTTCTGAGTGGCTTGAGCTCACAATACTAAAAAATTATGTGGCACGCGCCTGACTGATGACTTGGGGGTTTCCCACCTCATTGAGCGCCAACCTGCTTGATGATGATCAGTGTGGCGAAGGTGCTGAGGCTGTGGACATCCCCTTTGCACCATACATAGACCTCACGGGTCCCCAGCTGAGTGATATCATTAATGTGCTAACTTTTGGATGAACCTAATTAATTGGCGACCCGAACACTGACATACCCATCATCCATCCGAATCACAAGTTACCCACCAGCGAAACGGAGGTGGCCGCTGCTTCTTTGCCTCGACATGCAAAATACCTGGAAAATGTTATTTGAATGAGGAGCTGATGGCTACCTCCCCTGGATGTGCTGTAGTAGCCAGAATTGATTGTGTACTAACAATAGCTCGACGCGTAAAGACGTGATCAGACAACGGGAACTGAACTAAGGCCACTGACACACGGAACGGATGTACAAGGGAAAAGGTTCCTGTTGTCCCTTTGCTACGCTGTAAATCGTTGCCGTGTACTCGAGCCAACTGCCCCCAGCCAGGGGTCAACTGCCCCCACCTCGGCGATGCCTCCTTTTGTCGGGGCAATGGTTCTTCACTGGTTGATTGAACGAAATGGTGTCCATTGTGGGGTGTAATGTTTGCCGAACCCCCGCCGTCGCCCCGCGAGTCGTCGTGCTCCCTTCCTCTGTCGGCGGAACAGCGCGCGCGCGAGGCAGCTGAAGGGGCGCAATGGTAAGCAGCGCTGCGGCGGCGCGCCACCTGGCTGTGGCTGCCGCAGCTGTCGCCTTTGCACGCCATGGACGAATTGGCTGCGTGCGCGAGCTCATGATATTCGCGGCCGCCGCAGGGTATCGATCTCATCGCTGGCGGCAGGCGGAAAAAGGCGAAGCGGACTGCCCCCAAATCGAAGAATGTGTACATCAAGCTGCTGGTGCAGGTGAGATCAAGGGAGCGGGCCCCACAGGCGACGCGAGGGGAAAGCCTGCGCGTCAGCACAATTTCCGGACATGCTGGGAATCGGGGAATTCTGTGTTCGGCTGCGGGTTTGGCAGAGGGGCCCTCCGGTCGCCAGTCGACGCTCGTGGCTTGTGAACTCTGCGCTTCCTGGATGGCTCTTCCTTGCAATGCTATCCTTGTTGACACGCATCGACTGGGATCTGATGTTTCAGCGCAGCGTCGTTCTTTGAATCGGGCAGCACGACGCCAGATCCCTTCCAATGGCCAGCCGGCTCGCGAAGCGCGGGTTTCGGACCGTATTTTGGCATCCGCATTTGATCGTGGACGGTTGGGCGACCAAGGCGACCCCGGTGCCCAACTTGTGGCCCCAACACTGACGGCGGCGGGCGCCTCGCTGATTTCTTCTTTTGATTACTTTGCGCCAAATGCACAAAACAAGGATTACGGTCCCGAAAAGACTCGCTTGCGCAAGGCTCGTTCCTTCTTTCAGCAGCCCGTTTCCATGTTCAAAGAACTGTAGTATCCATGAAATATGCATCGAAGTACATTCAGGCGCAGAGGGGCAACAGGGGGGCTGTACTGAGCGCTCAGGGAAGTTGTGGGGAAATTGGTTCCAGTTTTAGCACACCAGATGCTTTGGATGCCAAGCAGTACGTGCAGACAGAGTCCTTTCCTTCAGCCGGGTCTCTAAGTCACCAGCCGGACACATCATCGTGTCGGGCTGCCACTGCCATTGATTGCCGCTGGCGCAACCAACTGGCCTGTGGATCTGTGACCGCCATGGGGGCATCCGTTCATTGATGGCTGACAGACTTTGGATCTCCTTTTTGGTGGCAGCTGTATCGGTACCTGGCAAGGCGTGCAGGTGGGGATTTCAATGCCAAGGTGCTCCACAGATTGATGATGTCCAGGACCAACAGGCCACCCCTGGGGCTGAGGAGACTTGCAACGTTCATGAAGGACTCTGTGAGTGCTGTGAAAGCTGCCTTGTGAATGTGTGGAGATCTGCTTGTCTGCTCTGATGTGCTCAGTGGGTTGCAGCATGGAATCCGATTGCGGGGGTGTTTGCTCACAGAAGGGGCATAGCCCAATTTTGAGTTGCCCTGTTTTGCCATAGCTGATGGCGATTGCCACGGAGTGTGGTGGTGTTGCTTGGGTGATCACTGCGGGTGGTATCCCTGGAGTAGGCCACTGCAGACATGCCCAAAGGGTGGCTGTTTGGCGTGTGCCAATCAATTGTTGTGGCACTTTCTTGATTGCAATGATGGCTGGGCCTTTGATGGATGTTGGGATGTTGTAGCTTTTCCCACTGGGTTGTCTGCGGCAAGATTCTGCAAGGTTCAGGTGTATCTCAAGAGTATGGATTGCAGGACATTGGCTAGTGAAGATGTGCATGCGACATTTGGAAAGGATCAAATACAGTGGAAATGTGCATGCTGTGTAGCTACCACCACTTGGCAGCTGGTGTTTATTGATACGAATGCTTCTGTTTGTGAACTTGCATCACCGAATGTCAAATCATTCATTGTTGTGATGTTGGTGTTGCTGGTGCATTGGTATTCAGGATGTCATATTCACGATGACAATAGTGGCCAACAAAGCATGAAATGCTGCTGTGGAAATGGGTTCATGAGCATGGAGCCCTGTATAGAAATATACCAGCTTTATGCTTTGATGTATCAGCACATAGCAACATCGATACATTAATGTTCCAATGGTGTGCTGACTTGGTTCCTACACCCATTCAGGGCATAGATTTTGCTGCTGTCCACACCATGCAGAGGACATATAGTTAAGGCCTGCGCCCAGCCAGATATAGATATCCCTGGAATTGGTGAAAGGTTTTGTGCCTTTGATTCTGCTGAACTGCCTTGCTAGGTTCCATGTACAATGGTTGTGTTGCTAAGAGGGCAGCATGGGCAGCTGCATTTCTTGATTGTCTTGTACACATACTACACCCACTAGTACATTTAGCAAGCTTGTGTTTTTGCAGAAACCCGATTCCCGGCCACATTCTGAGGCCATCTCCCTCCACAACTTCTCTCAAGTCTGTACATTGGCAGTTGCTGGAGCCACAAGCCGCAGCATAAAGGCTGTGATAGTAGTTGTCCAAATCTACAAGATGTGGCCACACACCTAATAGACGATTGGGGGAATGGTTCCACAGACTAGAGTGTCTGTTTGCCCCTTTACCACATACACTCTGTGTTGAATCAGCAATTGCCATTGCACTCATAGGCTGCATACCATGCTTGACAACAAGCACCAGGGCTGCCATGGCCTAAATGATTCCACGTTGCCAAATAGAAGGATGCAATTCACTGCTCATGTGTGCGTGTTCGATCACCTGTTGAAATGCTTGACCTAGGAGCCTTGGCCATAGGCCTGAGAGTGTTGGCCCATCTGCTCTCGGCACAGCACTTTGCTTCTGGTGTTTCCTCCTTGGAAAACCACTCTTTGTTTTTTTTTTGTCAGCAGCGTTTGATTTTTTGAGTGCTGTTTGTGCTTACTTCAGGACAAGATCGCTGTCACTGTTGGCACTGTGACAGATGACAACCGCTTGCAGGAGGTCCCCAAGATGAGGATATGTGCCCTGCACTTCACGGAGATGGCCAGGGCAAGGATTATCAAGGTTGGCACAGCTGATTCAGCTGCAACGGAAAGGCGGTTTAGTACTGTTGCTTGCTTAGATGTCTGTCAAACTGATTGATGTTATAATGGATTTGAGCAGAATCTGGTGATAGTTGCTCCGTGTTGATTGCTGTTTGCTTTTTGGCATGCTGGTGGTGCTGTGTTGCTACTTGATGTGCTACCTCTTTTATTAATAAGACTTGCTCCACTCAACCAGTATAGCCACCAGGGTCAATGCTGTCTTGTAAGTCATGGGATACTTCTTGGCATGCATGGGAAGTGGGCCAAGGGTGGAAAATACAGTGACACTGGACTGGTTGTGGTGATCAAAGCAGCAGGTCTTACAAATGTTGCTGTAGTAAAACGGGTGTGGGTGCACATTGCAGTAAGAGTTAGAAATGTATGCCTCTGAAAGTTTTCACAGAATCACCCCGCTTCCAAGCATGTGTGTGTGGTTTCAATATTGCCCCACCTTCTAGAGGTATGTGAGCCAAGGGACCTGGTGGCTTAACGAATGTGGGCGGTTTGCTTAGCTGCCAGTGTTACGTGGCAAAATGGCCTGCAACTGTGCCCACTGCTCCTGTTGTAAAGTACACTTACTAGCCACGCTTGGCATACAAGGTTATTGTACGTCAGTGTGTGGCCCCTAATTTGAATATGCATTACAAGACTGCTGCTGGTGCACCAGGCTGGTGGCGAGTGCTTGACATTCGACCAACTTGCGATCCAACACCCCACGGGGGAGGGCGCCATCCTGTTTCGTGGGGCCAAAAATGCTCGTTTGGCCCACAAGCATTTTGGCGTCCCTGGTGTGCCCCACTCCAAGACTCGGCCATATGTGCGATCAAAGGGAAGGAAATTCGAGAAGGCGCGTGGGCGCAGGCAGAGCAGGGGCTTCAAGGTTTGAGGGCTGCCATGGGTCCAGTGGATAGTTGGTGCAAGATGTCTCAAATTGGGGAGCGAGGGGATTGGTGCGTTGTGTTACGTTTGTGCACAGTTTTCTGTCATGATGCGCGTGCTGCAGTTGATGCTCGAGTCTCTGATTGGGTGGAGTGTGTACCAGAGGGTGCTCACTTGTGTCCTTAATGTCGATTTGGTTCCCACACCCCAAGTTTGTGCAGGGAGCGACGCTACTGCGATGTTGTCATGCTTAACGTCTTCTTTCTTCTTTTGGGGGGGAAAGAGGGGTGACAGCCCCTGGAGCTCAGGAATTGTGTAGTCATCTCGAAAACCACAGAAACCAACAAGAGGCCCACACTTTCCTTCACTCCCAAAAGAATTTGAGCACTCAACCTGCAGCTGGTTACTGCAGATGAAAGCAAGAAACTCGTACGCTGGCATCCCTACAATTAGTGTAGAATCTGCAGCGTGTGCTTGAGCTGCGTTCTCGAATCTGTCTTCCACTTACCCTGTGAAGCACCTCCGATCACCTGCTAGATTCGTTGAGTGTGAAGCTCAGGGCAAGGGTTCTAACCTATCTCTGCCCAAGTGCGGAGTACGGTGTGGCATCCGCAGGTGACTGGAACTATAAGGCAGCGTTAGTGAGTAACACTGGAATCTACGTGGTGGGGTATTTGGGAGTAGTGTTAAATTTGATAATTTGTGTAGCAAATCGAAGTCACCCCGTATCACCCCTGGTGAACGACAACATTACAACAAGAACAACTATACAACAAGAACAACAGTACCTCCTGTGCACATGTGTGGGTCTTTCCCAACAATGGTAATGGCTGGGGACATTTGATGCCATTTATTTCTCATGTTGGAACTATAGCCAGTCCGCTGTGGGTCGGGTCGCCCGTATGTACTGTACATTGTTTTCCCTCCCCCATACCTGCTGCTCTCGCAGACTATGGCCAGGGAAAGGGGCCTTATTCCTCGTCGCCTTGAAGTAAAATCTTCGTTCATCGTACTTCTCGCAGCCAGCCTGAGCAGTGGGCATTAGGGCAATCCCTCGCCCCCACCTGCCCGCCTTGCAAACACATCCCTAAAGAGCAAAGGAATAAAATAATAGGTAAAGCATCTGTTCACCAGTTCACCCGCAAAGGTCGTTATACCAGCTGAAGTTCGCAAATGGCGACGGCGGCACCATATTGGTGGCCCACTCTGAAAGGGACTCCACCTGCCCAATCTGCGCAATCTGTGGTGGGCATTTGGATTCAATGCAAATATTGAAGTGCCCCACCGACTTTGTGCTCACGTCTCCCGCAATCTTGTCTCGTGGCGTTTGGGGGGCGCATGGCAAGCCTCTGTTGCCCAGCTCCCTGGCTGAAAGCTGGCCCCTGTGCAGCTCAGTGGGCGATGGGTTCTTGCTGGCACTGGGCCTTGGAGATGGCCGGGGGATGCTTGGGTCCCTTGGAGTGTGGGTCCTTTGCGGGTTGCTTCCTTCCCTCCTGGCATCTTCGACCTCACCACGCGGCTTGAACCTGCTCTCAGACCTCTGGCTTCTAGCAGACGTGTCAGACCGCGCTCCAGCATGGCGATTGGGCAACCGGCTCATTTCGATCGGCGGTGCGCGTCTTGTGGACCCACCTTTGGGCATTTCTTGGGACCACATCCTGTCAATCTGTGGGCCCCTCGCAGACACAGGGATGCGCAGTTCTTCGGATGGAAATTTGTCGATCTTGATCGGCACCCTCACAGACTGCTTGGGCTGTTCAGGAGAACATGGCCTGTCGATTGGCAGCCCTTCCCTAGACCTGCCTGTGCCCACACTACCTTGAGAAGCCGACCGCTTCATCTGTGGCGGCCCTCTCTCAGGCCCAGCTCTTGGTGACTCTTGAGACCACAGCCTGTCAATCCGTGTGGCCCTTGCATGCCCAACTCTCTGCAGTTCTTCGCTGTCGATTGGCATTCTTTGCATAGACACGCCTGTGCCCACACTGCCCTGAGAAGGCGACCGTTGCATCTGTGGCAGCCCTCTCTCAGGCCCAGCTCTTGGCGACTCTTGAGACCACAGCCTGTCAATCCGAGTGGCCCTTGCAGATGCAGCTCTGTGCAGTTCCTCTGATGGGCATTTGTCGATCCACGGTTGCGCTCCCCCAGATTCCTTCGGCAGCCCTGGAGACCAGAATCTGTCGATCGGGACCCCTCCCTTGGAGCCACCAGCGGCCCTGGTATCTTGACTGGGCAACCTGTCCATCTGTGATGCTCCTCTTGCAGGAGCAGCATTGGGCAACTCTTGAGACCACATCCTGTCAATCCGTGTGCCCCTAGCAGATCCAGGCCTGCGCAACTCGTCTGACGCGTATCTGTCGATCTTTGGTGCCCCTCCTACAGATTCTTTCCACGGCTCTGGAGACCAGAACCTGTATATTGGTACCCCTCCCAGAGACCCTCCTGTGGACAGGATATCTTGAGAAGGCAACTTGTTGATTGGCGGTGAACCTCTTGCAGACCCTGCTTTGTGCAACTCCTGAGACCACAGCCCATCAAGCCGTGTACCCCTCGCAGATCCAGGTCTACGCAGCTCTTCTGTCGTGCACTTGTCAATCTGTGTTGACCCTCTTGCAGCTTCCTTGGAGGGCTCTGGAGACCCCCTCACTGTTTCAGTAGGGGGCTCTGGAGACCAAAACCTGTCGATTGGCACACCTCCCATAGACCCTCCAGTGGACAGAATGTCTTGAGAAGGCAACCTCTCGATCTGCGGTGAACCCCTCGACCCGCCTGTAGACAATATGTCCTGAAAGGGCGACCTGTCCATCTGTGGCGGCCCTCTCGCAGACCCAGTTCGGTGCAGTTCTTCTGATGGACAGCTGTCTATCTGTGGTGGCCCTCCCACCAGCGTTTTAAGGGTTGCTGGAGATGAACGCCCATCGGCAGTTATCCTGCTTGCAGACCCACCACCAGGCAGCTTTCTACCCATCTGTGGTGACCCGCCCACAGCATCTTTGGGCACTTTTGGAGTGCAGGAAACATGGCTGGGACCAACTCCCTCAGACCCGCCTGTGGACATGATCTCCTGGGATGACAACCTGTCCATCTGAAGCGGCCACCCTGCAGACCCTCTACACGGTTCTGCAGACAACTGCCTATCGCTCGGTACCCCTCCTGAAGACTTGGGGGTGTGGATTTCTTGGGAAGACGTCCTGTCCAGATGCGATGGCTGTCTTATTGGCTTTTCAGGCGGCTCCAGAGACCAAAACCTGTCGATCGGCACCCCCTTTTCAGACCCACCGGTGGACAGAATGTCTTGAGGGGAGTTCCTGTCCACCTGCGGTTGGCCTCTCGTGGATCCTTTGGGTGCTTCTTGAGACCGAAGTTTGACAATGGAGCTGTGCGACACGCTGGAATCCCTCTCAAATGTTGAGGATGTGTAACTCCAACCCTCTGAGGGCTTTTTGGTGTCAGCGCACCATTCAGAGCCAGCAGTCGACAGAGCCCAAGAATCGGCACACCGGTGGCTGATAGAGCTCAAAATGGAGCTGTTGCGTGACATGAGTGCCAGCCGCGCTTCCTCTTCAGCCTTAAACGACTCCCAGGTGTCCTCGTTCGCAATTATTTGGGCATCATCAGTCGTCGTGTCGGCCACAAGACTGCTGTACTTGCCAAGCTTTGTGCACAGAATTGCTCCAAAATTGCACAAGGACAGAGACAGGCTGCTGTTGGACACCAATTCCTGCTTCATCCTTGCCTTCACGATCTTGCAGAAATCGTTGCACTTTGGCGGCAGTATGTCCACCACCAAAGCGCTGGTGTCGTGATGCAGATCCCCGTGGTTCTGGGCAATGGCCTTGTCGATGAGCTTGGACGCTGCATTCGTAGTCGGAGTCCCACGGATAACCTCCACGGCCTCCGCCCACTGGATCATGTTCCACAGCCCGCTGCTGCCCATCAACAGCCTCGCTCCGCTGCTTGGCAGATTTACCTGACGGCAGCGGAAACAAAACCATTGCTCACCGCTCTCACCAGCCTGTGCACAGACCTATTATCCCACTCTGTATGCATGACAAACCCCCTGAGGACGGCAAACAGCGTCCTATGCAAGTTGCTCGTGGCACGTCAACATCAAGAGCGATGCCTACAGGAAGCAGCTCTGCTTTCCTCTCCTTGTGTTTTTGAAACAACAGCGCCTGCTGTCAATGACCTCCTGCACTCAGACTTTAAAGAAAAGCACGCAACTGCCCATTACCTGAAGAGCCACAATGCTTGGTATAGTTGTATTTCTGAGCAGAAAGTGCTTCGAAACACCAATCCTTGCAGCATATTCAACATGATCAGAAATGAATGAAACAAATGATTCAGAAACTTAAAATCAACCTGCCGCCATTGCCTATTCTTGCGTGATTATCCCTGTGTCATAATCACTTATCAGTTGTGTTCTTGTATTGGTGCTATCTCCAGGTGAGAACCTTTGAATCATGCCAAGGCTTCTCAATGCCGCACACGTCGCAACACAAGAACCTCATGCCGACAACGAAACGGCGCTCAGCACAACCCCAACAACGCTGGACACTGAAAAGTGATTTACTACTCCGAAACCTTGTGAAAAAAAATTCACGCGCTTTTACGCCACGCACCGGAACGAAACGCCGCTGGCTCCCCTTCCAGATTCAACTCGCGCCCCTGCCGCCCGCCTGGCCTCACCTGAAAAACGTGCGGCTGGGATATGATGTGCTCCCCCGCCTCGAAGTCGCCGATCGATCTGGCCACGCTGAGGCCCCCTGGGAAGCACCTCAGCGGGCCCGCCCTCTTGTCCTTGCCCTCGTGCGGGCCCTGGGGCCCATCGGGAGGCGCCAGCTCCAGCCGCACGCCGGCGGCCATGAGCCGGCCCCGCTCCCGCTGGTTGGACTCGATGCGGTGGCTGACGGTGGCCACGAAGGCGTCGTTGGCGGTGTCCAGGACGGCGTTGGCGTCCCCGACGTTGGCCATTGTCAGGAGCCTCCCGCACAGCAGGGCCACGGTCACAGAACTTCCTGCGGGCACGTGAGGCACAGGAACGTCGGATTCTTTCTTTCTTCTTTCTTTCTTTCTTTACCCATTTGTTTGTTCGTTTGTATATGTACAAACAGTTTATTCAGTACTAAATAACTAACAAATTATGTATTTTTTAATATCAATTGCAGCATTAATTAACAATAACAATAAGTTTCTGTTAATATACTAATAAATCAATATATTAGATGCTAACTATTGATAATTTATTATTTACTAACTGTTTTTACTGATTTCTGAATCTATTTATTTACTTGCCTTCTAATGTATCCTTGTCGACAGAACTGTGCGGGTGCAAGGCCAAAGGCGGCCAGGCATGTGAACCGTGGGAGGTGCTTTAGAGGCCCGCCTTTTGCTGCAGCCGGCGAAATCGAGGTCATGTCGGGCCGCCTGGAACTGAGAGGGTGTGACATTGTGCTGCCCCCCAAGGCGTGGGCATCAACGCTGCTAAAGGACGAACATGGCGTTGCAGTGATGGGAATATTCCCATATTCCCCATATTCCCGTATTCCCATATGCCCCATATTCCCATATGTCCCGTATGCCCCATATTCCCCATATTCCCATATTCCCATATTCCCATATTCCCATATTCCCATATTCTCATATGCCCATATGCCCTTAGGGCAATATAGGCTACATTCGCATAGGCCCCATATGCCCCATATCTCCTATATTCCCCATACTCCCATATTCCCCATATTCCCGTATTCCCATATGACCCATATTCCCATATGTCCCGTATGCCCCATATCCCCCATACTCCCATATTCCCCATATTCCCCATATTCCCTCGAGTATATACACTTGCGAGTGGACGGCTGTTCGGACTCTCTAGATTCATGACGTTCATCACAATCATACGGTCTTGAGTTCTAGATGGGGGCCATGCGCGTCATGAGACTGGGCTGGCCAGTTGGAGGGCAGCCCGTCATTCCAGGAGTCCGTACGGGGTTCAAATTGTTGGAGCCGCGGAGCGCTGTGCATGCTCAAACTGCGACTTTGAATTGACGCAGCAGAGCGATAACAAAAGATGGAAGTTGATTGGTATGTGAAGCAATCTGGGGATTAGGCGAGGTAGAACGTGGTTGCCTTTGGGCCCTCGAAATCCCCTCCCCCCCCCGTCCTTCCTATATATTGATGTGCCTATTCATTTTGCGATAATCTGCCATTGCGATATAAGTCTGGGGCAATGTATCATTTATCATTTGAGGACGAAGACGATTTGATACTACGATTCTCGTGATTTTAAACGTGCACCAATATATAAATGTGCTTGGACGTGCGAAAATGCGCCATAAAGTGCTCCAATGTTGTTGCCGTTTCCAGTACTCTTGTTGCGTGTTCGAGCAAACGCGTGTCCATAATATCACAGAAGCACAACGGCGGCACTGTGGCCGGCAGCTATGTGTGCGCCATCCTGCCATGTTGGGCGCAGCGCGAGCATAGCATTGCAATTTTTATTTATGTGGAATGTGTGCCGCTGAGCGACGTACTGTGCTGATCCAGAAGTCGTGTTTGCCAGCTGCTTCAGGCTTAAGCCCACGCGACTGTGCGAGAAACCCACTGGCAAAGTACTGTGTTGTGAATGACACACAACTGACACAGTATTGGCCCACATGTTCGCAGCACTCTTCCTTCCATAACACTTCGTGTCACATTCGAAAGGCACAATCCCAACTCTGATATGGCGACAAATTGCGATGGAATGTTTTGGGTCAACAGAAATATGCCGCAAGCGTCAAATGCTGCGCGCATGGGTTCCCAAGGAAACTGATTTGGCAAGCCTCACCTGAGGGCTCCTCAGCATCTTCTGCCAGTAATTTTTCTTCAACTTTTGCGAAAGCCTCGGTCACAGCGAGCCTCGCTCCACGACAGAACTCCCGAAACCCTGCAGAGATGCCGATAAGCCAACGAGCGCTTGAGCATACCAAAGCATTGCTAGGTCATGTGGCTCGTGCAACTACAGGTGAAAACTGGCGGCATTCTACAGCAACAGACTGGTCAGGAAAAGATACAACACAGTAACGAGAAGAGGTCACGACAACGCGATTTGGTGAATTCCAAACTCTGTTAGCGTTACTAATACAAGAATTTCAGACGCCTGAAACAACGTGAAAAGGGGAGGAAGTATTCCGGAACGGTTCACACTATTGACAGATCGTCGGGCACACTGGCCACACGCCGAATAAACAGGACAGCCGGAATTTTACTGCAATGAGCACATGCAAGGTGCATGCACCTCGCACGGAACATTGCAACTGGTTGCACCACGACGAAGCGTATGCATCACGTTACAACACCTCCACGTATGCCCTGGAGTGGATGCGCAAACTGCACGCTGCAGGTTCCAGGTTGCGATTGGTGATGTACTCCCACCGCTAGTCTGTGTTGGTTGCCAACAGTGATTGGGATTGATTCCATCGAAGCTTGCCATTGCAAACACTATGTTTTGGAGGGTATGCATCTATTGGGCTTCTACACACCGGCGAGCATATGGGTAGTCCGTCGCCTTGACTGCCCTGACTGAAATACGACGATGATGTACTGTTTCCTGGGGCAATCAGATGGTGCACGTATCACGAACTCTTAAGTTCGGGACCAGCCTTCCAGGTAATACCCGGAAGGCTAGTCCCAGATTTTTGGCTTAACTATCGAGCACCATGCCAGAGGGACACCTGCTGGATGCACACCGCGCTGTCACGGCTGCAGTTCGACACTCATTCCGTGTCTCGTCCCACATATCAAAGAAACATTGCCAATGCCCTCGGCATGTTGTGTATTAAGCATCGACGTGCTTTGGCGAATCAACACCACGCGCGGGAGAGGCCCAGGCCCGAGCCAATGCACAAACGCCCTGCTCGTGCAAGCGGAAGCCCACTCCCAGATCGCCCCAAGACCGCAGATCTTCGCGTCCTGATTGGGCAGCTGCATGCAGCGGGGCACCACGTAAGGCCGGGTATGACTGGTCGATTTGCTTCGACTTGCCGCGCGCCGCGCAAGAGATCCGCATGAGGACAGGTGACCTGATTCGACCCCGCTCGCCAGCCGACATCCGATCACCCCCCTCGGCGCCCGCGCCGTCTGCCCTGGGAGCACGCCGGTGGGAGCAAGGGCGCTTCGGAAACCCAGGTGGCAGACGGCCCGGGGCAAATGGACAACGATTCGACAAATGGGCTGGAACACAACGTGACGCGAAGATTACTGGACGGCCGGCCCACGCGGCCCTAATTTGGCAGGCAGTACGGCCAGTTCAGGGGCCCCACCTTCGCTCCCAAGGCGGGGCAGGGGCGTCTTGGGCACCAGCGGCCCGAGGATCTTGCGCAGGTGGGCGCGCACGAATGCAGCCGTCCCCGCGCCGCCGTGGCCGTCGCAGATGCAGTACAGCGACCACTCCTCCCCGCCCTCCGTCTCAGCGAACGCCTCCCGGACGAACACCACGTCCTGCGAGGCCTCGCATGAGTCAATCGCCCACAACCCCCATGCGCCGCATGGCTCGAACACCCTCCATTAAAACCAACGCACTGTGTTCATCGAGGGCGAGCTCAACACGCGAAAGCACAGCCCTCCGAACAAAACCCCGAATCCTTTTGTTTCGGCGATGCCAATATCTGATGCCAGCGACGCTGCTGGGAACGATCCAGTACACCCCCGCACCGCGCGCCAGCAGCCCACCTCTCCCCGCACGGCCCGCTTGTCTACGGAGAACTGCGGCCGCGGCATCTTCAAGGCGGGCCGGGCATCCTCGGTGGGTGCCTGCGCGGCGCCGTCCGCCGTGTGGCAGTCGCCCGGGACGACTTCCATGGCCGCGGGCCCCGCCAGCCTGGGCAAGCCCCCTCCTGAAGAAATCCGGGATCACGGCGTCAGCGACCGCATTGCTCCCAAAGGACCTCAAAGCAGCAGACTCTAGCGAAAGTCGGGCGCGTCGATCGGTAAAATGTCCATAGAATCGGGTTCAGCGGCGAGAATGAGCAGGACTTCCTACCTCGGGCGGGTGGCACAGACCTGTGATCGACTGGATCGCCTGATGGCTGCGCGCAACCGTCACTGCTGGCCGGAGGAAGAGGGCTCCCAGTTTCGAGACCGGGGGTGTCTGTTCGGCCCTTCGACGGGGCCCTGCGCGCCCCACGCGCGGGCGTGGGGCACAATGAGAGCCCAATGGCAGTGAGGTCGACCGACGCCGGGCAAAAGCCGCAAGGCCTCGAGCGTCGATTGGGTGAGGTGTGATGTACACTGTTCCCGCACGTGCAGGGTCGCGGCCGCTGATTTGAATCGCACGATCGGCTTTGGCCATCCTGTAATAGACGCGGAGGGTGTGCGGTGTGGGGGTTTAGGCACCAAGCGCTGCCCCGATGTTGGAGGATTCGCGCCCGGGGGTCGCGTTCACTGAGTTCTGCTTTGTACTTGACGGGCGTACCTCTTCTGTCATTTCTTCCGTCAAAGTGGTGATGTTGAGACTGGCAGTATGTACAGCAGGTGTCACTGAAGGGACCCGCGGCCAGGACGCCAATCCGGCAGCTGCCGGGCCATTTTCTGGGTGGTGCAGAATGATGACGTCACGGCGCGAATGTGTGGTTCTCATTGGTGGGCTTGCATGGTCGATATCTTTGCTGTGTTTGTGTCCATGCGTTGTGTGTGTACGCTGCGCTCGCAGATGTCACGTGAACGCAGCCCACCATGTTGTGCGTGTGGGAATGGCGCACGTACGTTTGTACATCCCTTGCGGTTACTGGAACAGGTTATGCGGCGAATGTGCATGTACATTGCAAGACGCACAGCCACCCGCCTCATGCTCTGCAAGCGCTGGAACTGAAGCTCCTGCGACTTCTGACAGGTGTGCACGGGAAAGGGATCCATCGCGCACATCGCCCCTCAGCCAGCAGCTGTCCAAACTCCGCATCTGTTCGCCGCCAATGTTCAATTAGTCACAATATCGTCAACCATGTAGAAATATGTGTCCCCATTCGCGAAAATGCTCACACATGCCGCGCTCTTTCTTTTGGGTACTGCCCCTGTTATTAACACGCAATGTTTAAAACATTGCGGTGGTTTTGCCACGCCAAGCATCTATATGGCGCCACGGACCCCTCCTCCCTTAGCGTCAGTCTTCAGGCCGTTGTTAGCTGACACTGTGCATCAGTGCTTGACGGTGCAACGCAGCATCTCAGTACATAACAGCGACCATGGTCACCGCAGCGGTCAACCCGGGTGGGGCGGGGTGCCGCACGTGGCTTGGGGCTCCTGCTGCCGCCAGACGCCAGACGCAGACTTCGTGCTCTACGTACTGTTGATACAATCAATAATCGCTCATGCTTAAAACTGCGAAGGTGGAGCGCACGGCAAGCACGACGTTAGAATTGAGCGTTTGCGAATCTAGGCAAATTGCGCTGGTGACGTCATGTCACTGACATGGTAGGCGACGCGACTGTGGACGCTGGCCGTGCACAGGCTGACGCACATTCGCAATGCTCACTGTGCGCACGTGCTTGCGTCCGTGGCGGCAAGGCAAATCGATTGACCTGGCCATAAAACCAAGAATGCCGGATCGCTTACGTCTTGGGAAAGCCCGTGATTGCGTCACAACCGTTGATGCGCAACGGTGAATGCGGTGAATGCGATTCGGGAACAGGGACAGTAAGTGTCGCCACTTTTGCCCGCCTGACCAAAACAAACACGCTATGCAATGCCCTTTGCACTCCACCAATGCAGTCCACCTCGCTTCGCATTGCGGCACACGGGAGACGGTGCGGCAATGAAGGACTTCTTGCTCGGGGCGGAACCTGTTTGGCAACGTTTTGCAACCGCTCCCGTCATAGGTTACTCCCGTCGCAGCACCACCCCCACCGTTGTGGCGCTTGCGGGGATTTTGTCACAGCCGTAATTTGCCCTGGTGCGCTCAAGCGCCTACCACGGGCGCTGCTCAGTGCTACACAGCCTGGTTTACCGCACCGTGCAATCTTATGTTTGGAGCGCGAAGAGAGCACCCTGTTTCTACCTACTTTGTTGTGCTGCGCAGACCCGTTCTCCATTTCCTGAGGATGCAGAGCTGGAGTGGGGCGTGAAGGTTGCGTATGCCTCAGAGAACGTGTTGCTGCTGTGAGCACTGTCCAAAAATTAACGTTTTGCCAAGGCCGGTTGAATCGCGTTCTTCCAGTCGCAAGTATATCGATTGCAATCTGCCCCGGCCACCGAGGCACGTGGGAAATGAAGTCACAGCAGCGCTGCGCAAGTGCGGCAGCACGCTGCGTGTAACCGCTCGTGCGCTGCACCACAGGTGGCGCGATACAGTACTCAGAGCAGATTAGCGTCGCCAGCCTTTGCAAGCGAGGCTTAAGTTACAGAAGGTACATTTCGCACTGCATCACATTTGGTTTCAAGCACCTCGCGCCACCCCACACGCAGCAATGAACTACGAATCTACTTCGCCAGCCTGCTGTCACTTTGCCTGTACACAAGGTTTCTTGACCAGCCCCCTCGCCCATTATTGGAACCTGGCAGGTGCCGCCCAATCGGCATCCTGGGGCGCCGGGGGTGCTAGGAGATCGAGCTGCACTGTCCATGACCCCAACGGCCATTTCTGACGTGAATGCGCACCGCCGACTCCACAGTTGTGCCGGGCACGAACAGAGGCCAATTCCATGCTTGCTTCACACCTACCAAATACCTCTATCAATCCATCATGGCGCGACGCCCGCACCCAACCGTAGCTACAAATTCTCGTGAATTGTTCCACCACCACATTGTACAAATGGCCACACCTCACCCCTCCGTATCTACCAGCAATATCTACTAGCTGCAGCGCTAACCTTACTAGCTTGAATTGTCGCAGCGCCCCGGGCAGGACGCTGGCGTCCCCTTGGCGTGCCCTCATTCGTGCCCCGTGCTGCCAATCCCAAATAGCAAAATGTGCTGAGTGTGCCGTCCTCAGGGTAGGTTTCTGGGCGCTGAAACAGTCATTCGTGGGCCCTTTGAATCCCCATCCCCAAACGACGTTCCAACCGACGCCGCCTCGAGAAACAGGCGCCTCAGCCCCACGCCCGGCGAAGCCCCACACCAGCGGCCGCGCACCGCTAATGCCGCTTTCGCCCTGACGGAGACGCCCCCTCGGCGGCTGCGAATCGGTGAATTGCGTTCAATAGGTGGTAACCTGGCGGGGGGCGGGCGCCCCGCCGCCTTGGGGCCCCCCAACGGCGTACCACAGCACAGCGGCGTCCTCCGGCCCTATCCCCGACGCCGGCCTCCCCGGGGCCAGTCCCAGCCCCTGGGTCCCGTCGATCGTCGCCGAAAACTTCCGCCAGGCGGACACCTCGGTGCCGGCCCCGCCGTCCTCACCCCCTTTGCCCAAGCCGCACCGGCTTGACCCCCCCCCCTCCATCACATTCCCTTCCCGCATCATCGACTTGGCCGCAGGATGCACAACCGAATCGTCCGGCCTGGCTCTCGCCGAGTCCTCCCTCCAGTCCCGGGCCCGCCCATTCGGCCGCGGGCCCGGGCTCGCGAGGCCCGCGCTACCGGCCCACGGGGACCCCCCCCCGCCGGACCAGGTACCAGTGGGGGACCCGGGGCCCAGAGCCGCCAGGATAGACACCCCTGCGGGAGGAACCTCCAAGATCGACGTGGATGCCTGCGGGTGCTGCTGGACCGCCGCCTCTTCGGAGGGCCGCTCCTCGATCGCGGAAACCCGCTGGAGCGATCCGCGCCTGCGGGACGCGGGCGCCTGCCCAGCGCTTGGTTGTGCGGTCGCGTCCGGTCCGCTCCCGTCCACTCCAGATGGGCTCCTCGGCGACCGCCGCCGTCCGCAGCTGATGCTGCGCCTCAGCATCGACGCCGTGGTGCGTCCCCCCCTGCCGCCGTCGCGCTCCATGAAGCATGACACCGGCGCGCAGGCGCAGCCCCCCGCCACGCCGCACCCGCGCCGCCTGCACCCCTTTTCCGAGTACCCCGCCGCGCGCCACCTCTGCCGCCTGGGGCCCGGCCGCCCGCCGGGCCCCTGGGGCCCGCCTGGGCCGCTGGCAGCCGCCACGATCGCCCAGTGGCTCGAGCAGCTGTCGGAGATGGACGGCTCCTGAAGGCTCTTCCACACCTCCCACCCGTCCACTTTGGCCACCACGCGGGGTTTGTCGCACCTGAACCTCGCCACAGCCTGGTGGTACTTGTTGGCCTCGATGCCCAGACACATGCGCACGCCGGACAGGGGCCCGCGGGGCTTTTCGGAGCGCTTCCAAGTCGCCTTGGCCCTGGCCAACTTGGGGAAGTCGCTGCAGGCGGGCAGCAGGACGTCCACCGCGATGGCCGTCGTGTCCTGTTGGATGGACAAGTTGTTCTGGACCACAGCCAGCTCGATGACGCGCGAGGCGGCGTGCTTCGTGGGGACGCGCCTCAGGCTCTGCACCGCCTTCTCCCAGTGGATGAGGTCCCAGAGGCCCTGGGAGCCCATCAGCAGCCGCGTGCCGCTTCTGGGCAGCATGATCTACAGCAGACAGCGGCCAGGGAGCACGTTCAGCGCCAGTTGCGACCAAGGCTCGCGCTTGTTGGCAATTCTTGCGATGTTGCCTGTACTTTCCTGCGCTGGGGTTCTAAATACGTGCTTCCGCGAACCTTCAGGCCCTTCCTGTCAATAAGTCTCGGCGTTCTGTTCAATGACTATGCGAACTGAAGCATCCTCACTGAAGAAGCTTGCCAGCGGGAAAGCAAGGCTTTCAGTCAGCCACCAAACTCCGCACAAAAACGGGCTGCGAGAGGGCCAAGAGTCACCCCCTTGCTAGTTTGCGTGCCCCAAACCGACGCCACCCCGCCGTCCGATCAGTCCCCAGCGCCCCACCAAAGGCCTCACGACATCAACATCAGCTCTGATGGTGCCGCACCTGGTTGATGTGGGGACACGCCAGCACATGCTCGCCGGCCCCCGTGTCGCCCACGGACCTCGACATCGTCACGCCGCCGGGCCAGCACCGCAGGGGGCCCACGCTCTGCTCCCTCTGCCGCGCTGGCCGCGTGTAGTAGGCGGACAGGGGTGCCAGGCGCACGCCGGCGCGCTTCAGGCGCTCGCGCTCCGCCTCGTTGGTATCTATGGTGTCGTTCATGGTCACCAGGCGGGCGTCGGTGCCCGTGTCCAGCACGGCGTCGGCGCTGCCCACGTTGGCCACCGTCAGGAGCCTGCCGCACAGCAGGGCCAGCGTGACCGCGGTGCCTGGAAGCACAGACGCGAGGAGCTCAGTCGCACTGGCAAACCACCGCGCGGCGCGCGAGTTGTTGTCGACCGACATCCTGAATGCTAATTTGGGGAGTGACGGACAATGGGCTCAACGGCAATTTGTTGTGCACGCTTTCCGCGCAAGGATTTTCCGTGTTTTGGCGGCGTTGGATCGCTGAAGGTCGTGCGCAGCGGAATCCAGGCTCCAATGCTATCAAATGGCGCCGTCTTGCCACTATTTTTTCTTTTCAGCCGTTCCCAGAGACTGCTGAAGGGCTTGCCAGAACGAGCCTGCAAATACGCCGCCGCGCGTGACGTCTTTGTGGAGACACCAGACAGGGGGCGGACATGCATTGATCAATGATTGCGAATTGAGCTGACACACCGTGCGAAGCTTGGTGCTTGGTTCTGTGCGGAAAACTTGGGTTCCAAGGGCCCGTTATCCGAGGGGCGTTCTTCATCGCGCCTTTCGTGTTAATGACGACTGAGTTTGATTTCAACAAGTGCATGCAAGTCAATAACTTGCACGTGGAATCTGTGCACGGTTTTGTGCATTCAGTTTCCCAAATGCGTTCGTGGCTGACAGTTTGTATCCGTCCTCAAGCGCTCCAAAGTAGTAAGAAACGAGTCGCAGACAGAACTAAAAGTCGTCATATGCTATGTGGATGTCATGCAGAATCACTGAGGCCGCAATCACGGACGCCAGCCAGAGTGGTTCTCAGCACCAAAAAATCGCTTCGTCCAACGCAGGCCTGTCACACAATGGTTGACTGACCCAGGGGCGGCCGCCCACCTGACTTGATGGCTGAATCTTCTTTTGCGAATCTTTCGTTTATCTTCACGAACGTCTTAACCACTGCGACCCTCACTCGACGAGAGAACTCATGGAAACCTGCGCCAGTTCCACCAAAGAATCAGAGAATCCTTAGAGGCAACACACCCTGCCAGTTCTAATTTGTTGCGGGTGCGCAACTCACCTCCCATTCACTGGACAATATGTCAGGGTAGTGGACTTGTTGGATACTTATCAGCACGTGGTGAGCCTTAGATAACGAGTTGTTTTCTGCGGAGATGTTGAAGAGCGCTTGGATGTTCCAGGCACTCTGGGCGGTATTGGCAGTCAACATTCGTTTCTAGGTGCCTGGTTCTTTGGCAGTTTGGACCCTCTGGTTCACCGAGTGTCTTTGAGCATGGGCCACGGTATCTGTTGGAATCTTGGCGCGAACTTCAAGGAAAGTTCAAGGCTCACTATTGAAGGGGTCGCCTTGCTGGGTCTTCTCGGTCGGCGGGCGACCTCCGCCCCAACCAACATTTAAGGGGTCCCCAACGCCCTCCAACCACCTTGCATGGCACTCTCCCGCCCACCCTTTTGGTATTGGTCCGGTGCGACTCATCAGCACCGCCATCAGCCGCCACAAGCGCCCTGACCCGGGGGCTCTGGCTTGGCTGCGTACTCCCCCAAACCCTGACGTCGCGCCGCCAGCGCATTTGTCAACAGCTCTGCAAATTTCCGACAGCACAAATTAGCAATTACAAATGCGCCGGCACAGGGACTTCGCAAAGCCCCCGCGCCGGCGCATTTGTAACGGCTAACTTGTAACGGCCAAACCAGGAGCCATTTAGCTCAGGGTTAATCATCACCAAGAAATCTTACACATCCGGGAGGGGGGCAGCCATCAGCTCCCCATTTGGCCCGAGCAAGCAGGCCCCGGGTTCGCCCAAGCCCAAGCATCACGGCGCCGACACATTAGCAGACCGCTCCGCACATTTCTGACATCCCAAACTCAGCTCCCGCCCAAGACCCCTTCGTAAGCACCCCCTCCCCCCCCTCCCCCGCCGGAGTACTGCAAGAAACCCCATGGGACCATTTTTGGGCCTCATTTTTTTCGTCCCTCCGTACATCCGCGCAGCACAGTGTACCGCAGCCGGTCCCAGGCGTACCTCGCCGAGCTGCCGCAGCGAGGGCAGCCCACCGACCCACCTTCGCAGTCCTCGCACTCGGGCGCCGGCTCCCGCGGCAGCAGGGGCCCCAGCGCGCGCCACATGTGCGATTTCACGTAGTTCGCCGCCACCGTGCCCCCGTGGCCGTCGCAGATGCAGTAGAGCCCCCACGCCGGCCCGCCCTCGACCACCGGCCGCGCCTCGCGGACGATCACGACGTCCTGCGGTGGCGCCCAGCGCGGCAACGGTGTTAAAATCCCGCGATGAGAACAAAACGTGATCCACCGGGCGTTTCGGCAAGGGGAGAGATGCGCCAGATCGGCACCAGACAGAGGGGCGAATATCGATTCTTGCTCGAGAGAGCGGGGAGCCCCCCATCGGCGAGTTTTCCGCCGACGGGCTCGTCGTGAGGCGTGGAAAGAGAGCCAAGCCGCGGGAGGGCCCTGCCGAGGCTTTTGGTCCCCCGGAGAGCGGCTCCGGGGCGTTGCGCCGCGCCGCCCCGTCGCTCACCTCTCCCTTGAGCCCCCTCTGGCAGGCGGAGTACTCGGCCGCCGGCGCGCCGGCATGCCAGCCGCGCGCCCGGGCGCGGTGCGCGCCCGGCCTCAGCCCTCCGCCCTCACCGGCGCTGTCCCCGGACACTCCCGGGTCCGCCATCCCAGCCCCTGGCGCCAAACCGCAAACACTCGCAATCAAAATTCCGCGCCGAGTCATCGCCAACCGTACCGCAACCACCCTTTTCGCGTGCAACCCGTCACGCCTGGTGGAGCGCGCTCCCCGGCCAGGGCGGCTGTTCCGATCGGCAGGGCGAGCCGGGAGCAGGCCGCCGACACGATGCTCCGGCCTCGTATTCGGCGGATCACCTGGGGGAGGACCTCGTTTTGGAGTTGTTGCCCGCGCGGGCAGTGGGCCATTAACCGCCGCTCGACCCTGCGCCCACCAGCCTCCCAGGCGCCGAGTCGGCGCCTCACTTCGCTGCCGCCTCGCCGCACCGAGCACCGAGGGAGTCGCGGCGCAGCGGCAGGTTGCTGTCAGCGGCGCCCATGTAGTGGGTGCATGCAACAGTCAGAGGGCCAGGCGCTGGCCCTTTCAGCCTCTGTCCCACGTTCAATGTACTATGTTGGGCGTCCCACGTTGCGGGCGCCATGCTTTTTCGAGCGCCTGATTGGCGGCATTACGCACGAGTGGGGCCCGCGGCGCCAGAATACTGACGCAGGCTGCGCAGATACCTCGGGTGCGTCACACTCCAGCGACAGATACCGCTTGGTCCCGACCGATGTACGTTTCTGATGGGGCGGGGGGCGGCCCTATTGTCGTATGGCACGCGCAGGGAAGCTCCGCTGAAATTTGGGTCGGTACAGCGCTGGTACCTTGCGGCACGGAGAGCGTGCAGCCAACCTTCCCCGTTTGCGTGACCCCTGCTCCGATTCGCGAGGCTTTTACGCGCCGCTGCGTAAAGTACACGAAACTAAATGTAGACACGTATAAACTTAACGTAAACATAGACGTAAATAACAAGCCCTCGCCCACAGAAATAGCGGAACGGTACCTGAATCGCTCGAACTCCTGGATGCCAGGGCCGAACGCAGGAATGTTGCCGGACACGTGCCAAATATCTTCGCGCCGGGGCGGCTGCCCGATCTGCAGAGTCGGTGGATTGCATAATTCAATCAAGGGACATTAGCTTGAACTTCCAAAAATGACACCAGGCTCATTCCGCGTATCGGACAGCTGGGAGGGCGGTGGCACAAACATCATCGTACACACGAGCACGGTAACATCAAAAGGCGGCGCACGGGCCCCCGCTTGTGTCACCGCAGCCACGAATGCCGGAAGCCGACGTTGAAGTGACATAGCATGTTCGTAAATGACGTCCAGACACAACGTTAGCCTCACTAATGCCCTCGGGACTGTCCTTGGGCACCATCATCCGCGACGAAGGCATCATGAACAGGGGTCATTTCAACGAGGACAGACTGTCGCGAATTCCAAAAGCTTGCGTGTGGGCACCGCGCGCTCCGCCGTTTGATTGGCACGTCCAAACGTGAGGCAATTGCGGGTGCGGATGGCGCAAGAACACTGTGCCAGGAGCACCAAGGAGTCGTTGTTGCGCACATCAATCGGTGTCACATGCATGAGTGTCAAACCCCAGGCGGCGCGCAGCATGTGTGAGACGACCACAGTTGCGCGGACGAGTTAAGTCGAGCGAGGAGTGGCGGCAACGGCACTGACCTTCCGGAGAACAGGATGCCCTCGGCGACGGTGGGCAAAGCGCAACCAGCGCCAACGCACTTCGACTTGTGACAAATTGACGAAACGCCGCCTTCGCCGCTGCAAAGCACGGCCATGCTAAATACTCGCATGTTGCAAGTTTGAAAACGATCAACTGAGCAATAGCGCCGCGATTCTACGGAATCCCAGTATCTGCTTGTGATTCTCGTGCAAATCGCGTCCCAACCGTTGCCACGTGCCCAGGGGGTCGCCTCTAAAAGTGCACATCATCACAGCGCATTTGGCGCCAACTGGACTCACGGAAACTCACTGGGGCTGAGCCATTGCGGACTTCATACCATAGAAACAGGCCGCAAAACACACTGAGCAGAAATTCTCGGTTTGATGGCAGACCCTGGAATGGTGATGGATGTCGCACAGCCAAGGCAAAGGTGGAGCTGCTGCAGACCGTCGATTTCTGCGCAGGTCAGAGGAGAGAAGCACTTGCACAAATCTCGGTATCTGCCCCCTATTCCGGGGCCATGCCGTGGGCGCAACTGGGGTGCTGCGACTCACCAACGGGGTGCTTGCGCCTTGCTATCAAACGCCTGCGTAATGAGTCGATATCTGCAGGCTGGAATGCGCAATGAAGGCGCAGCGGAGGCAGTTGTGTCGCGCCGAACAAGATAAGCAGCTTTCCACGTTGCACCAGCATACTTGATTTGTAGGACAATCAAACATGAATTCTGGTGCCGCCTTATGCTTATCTCCGACGGGACGCTTGCTTCTCAGACGCTGCGATGATGGATTCCTGCATTTTTTTTCTATTTGCAGCGGTCTCGACAGAGTTCCTCTGCTAAAACCTGGGTTGAAGACTCTGAAATTCTTAACTTGCGAAATTTGTGCTGTAAACGTAAACGCCCAGTACCGCAAAACAATGAAAATTAGCGAGACTGCCCCCTAGAGATGATTTGATAGGCTATTGTTGTTCCAAATTATGATGCTGAAACCAGCATCAGCATCCGTATCTTGGAATCGCCGTGCATTGAGCACGTCAGAAGGCTCTGCATCCCCCCCCCCCACACACACACACTGCCCACGCACGCAGCTACGTAGCTACCCATAGGTGCGTCTACATGAGCATGCATGCCTGACCACCAGACCAGCAGGCCCAGACATATGTCTTGTTTTCCGCTTGTTCCCAGATACTGCGTTTAATGCTCTTTATGTCTGTCTCGCACTGCGAGACCTGCATCGTCTTCTGCTATTCCAGAAAGAAAATCATAAACCAATTTGCGATCAGGAAGGGGAAGCACCCCACGTGCTGGCGTTGTAGTGTGGGTGGGATTGTGGTGGCTGGCGGTTATGTCGTGTTCCCTTCAGCACTGAAAATATTGGACGTGGGTATTTCCAAGCACGTCGAGGGATTACAGAGTTTGAAAAGACACTGCACTCTGTGCCAACCAATCCGGTGTTTGGTTCATCATTCATTCCGTCTGCACAAGGGGAAAGAGTGGCACCTTGAGAATATCATCGGCTCAAGTTCAACCCAACTTCGCTCAAAATCAAAAGAGACTCCACACCTAACTCAAATCTACTCAATGCAACCCAAAAATCAACCCAACTGAACTCGAACTCAGTGATAACTCAGCAAGAGCCTCTCCAACAAACTAGTCAGCATAGCGCCAAACCAAGATCAGCTTCAACTCAAACCAACTCATGCAGCACTCAATACTAGCCACAGGCTATTGCTCAATGTGCTCGTACTCAACAGCTGCAATTATTTGGGAAGAAAGAAAATCATTAGGAACCAGGTCGTGTAGGGGACCTTTAATATGAAGATCTGTGTGGGAAATCTTGCAACACAATTCACCTGCGGCCTGAGAAGGCGTCCTGCAAATTCATCTAAAGCATACCAAGCATTCTGCCCGCCCCCAGTTAAGATATTAAAGCCATACTCGCGAACTACGCCCCAGGAGCACACTCTATGAATGTAAGAATTTTGTTTGCACAACAATCTCCACATTTCAGCTTCTTAGATCTAGGAAGTGGAATTGATCTAGATCAAATTTTGGGAGCCCTAACTCCAAATTTGTTATTCTCAAGCGACGAAAACAAACAGCTTTGTACGACTCAAACTCATTGTAGCACTGGAGGGTTCACTTGCATTGAAATGCAGTACCAGCAGAAAAGTTCCCATCGAAAGCCCTCCAGCCCAAGGAAGCTTGTTGCACAAATGTTGTGCTGCAAGCCATTTGTACTATTGCCAACTAATTTTGCTACACGCCAGTCATCTACGCAAGCAACACAACATGCGATACAGCCTTTACATCTAATCCAGCACAGAAACCATTTTCCTTAAGGGCTCCTACGCATCCACGTGGCATGGGCTCTGCGGATATGCTAGTTTCTTCCCTCTCTCCCACCAACCCCACCCCACCCCACCCCACCCCTCCCCACCCCACCCCACCCCCTCCCCACCCCACCCCCAATAAATGAGTGTCCATTTTCAGAGTTTCAGAGATGACAGATCATTTAATGATGATCTCCATTGCCAAATCAGCAGGCTCGTCCACACCGATTGGTTCTTCACACCGTCGCTGGTGCCTATTTTCGCGGCCCGGCTATTCCCCTGACAACCCGGGCATCGTTCAACTGTCATATTCGTTTGTGGCATTTCAAAATACATCTCAAGGCATTTCGCGAGAAACCATCCACGCCGTCACACCATCGATTCTGAGCTGCGAAGGCAGCGTCCTTACTTTTTCGGTAAAGGTATTCAAAGGACTTTCCGTTGTGTGGCGACATCTGCGTTACAGACGTCTAGGATTCTGGGAGACAGGTGCCACAGACTTTGCTCATGAGGCCGCATCGCGCAGGTTACTCCCGCACGGTCTCATTGTGAACCTCACGCTCTGGCCCGAAGACACCCCAGCGTTGCGCACCATTTCAGGCGAAGGACTCTCCCGAAAGGCATCCCTGTAAGGATAGAGTGTCCTGAGAGGGACAACGCCGTGCCTGTGGCCAGGCGTCCAGCCCTCGCGTGTTTGGCCATCTGAGCGACGCCTGTCAAGCTCCTCGGAAGGTTCCCTTCGCTCGCAACTCTGCGCCCAGCCGCCCGAATGCCGATGGTGACACGGAGCATCGATCTCCAGTGCCGGACGTCCTGCCAAATCACAGCAACCTTCTGGCCAATGCCCTCTCATGGCACTGCGCAACCAGCGGTCGTCGCCACGATGTTCCCATCTTTCCGGAGCTTCACCGGACAAACGCATCATCGATGGGCGCAAATGGCGGTGACTTTCGGCAGAATGTCTCAGCAAACGGCGGGCGCGCCGTCCGCGCTCCGGGTAGGTGTATCCCGCCGACCTTCGCCTCTCCTCACTTGTCCGGCCCTCCAGCGTCGCCCTCATGGCAATCCATCCATCGACACTGGCCAAGATCTTGTAGTCGTCGCACCTCCAGGTGGCATCAGCACGAATGGTAATCTTGCATCCCATCCAGTGACACACCCTGTCTCGGCAAGAGCGCAGCCCACGTCGACTCTTGAGACTCTCGCGCTTGAGCTTTGCTTTGACAGCCTTGGGGAAACTTGCCCCATCTGGAGGGAGAATATCGAGTACGAGTGCAGTGATGTCCTTGTTCTTCGGCCAATTGTTCTCAAGCATCGCCAGAGCGACGGCTCGCGAAGCGGCGCCCTGAACCGGCGTTCTGCGAACACTGTGGGCGGCATCTTCCCAGTGGATAAGGTCCCAGAGTCCTCGGGATCCCATCAATAGCCGCGCGCCACTCTTTGGAAGATCAACCTTCACACAAATGATGACAAGGAGAGCTTAGCTGAAAGAAATGGAGTTGCCAGCCATTCTGAAGCTGCAATTTCACCACGCCTCAGTTTACTTCGGTAAACCAACAAAGGCAACAGCAGCGCATTTCCATGTGCTTTAAATGTCTGTGCCTGACACCGCCTGCAAAGTGCAGGGGCATTTCCTTGGTCCCTCAGCAAACGTGCGCTCAAAGGGTATCTCCGAATTTGTGAAAGCCGTTTGCCACCGGGGCTGTTGGCTGATTCCATCACCAACATTACCTGGGAGCACCTCTTTTGTGGGTGGGGTGTCTGTTTGGCGCATAGTTGTCACAAGCAACAGTTCCACGTGGCGCCTTTGATGGTAAAACATTAACTGGGTCACTCCCCCAAACGTCTTGTCCCCGAGGGCCAGTGCCATTTTTTGCACACCATGTACCTCAGTACTATATGGCCACTCAGAATATGCCGCATTTTTCTCTCTGATCGCTTAGGGACATTGCGTCGTCAGCGAGAGTTGAGGTGCTCGCCCTGCCCCACACACCTGGGGTCTGCCGTTGCCGGCATTGTCAGTAATCTTTAATGGAACACCCAGGCAAGAATTTCTTGCTTCAAAGCGTTCAAAGCGCTGCTTTCCAAGCGCTACGTCCACATCCCATGCGTTTCGCTTTGTGTCTTTCCGCCCTCACCTGGAAGATGTGAGGATAGGGCAGCACGTGCTCCCCAGCCGCGACGTCTCCCACAGACCTTGCAACTCTCAGCCCACCGGGCCAGCACCTCAGCGGCCCCACACCCTCCTCCCCCTCTCCTGCGGGCCTCGTGAGACATGCCGAGAGACGCGCAAGAAGCACGCCGGCGCGGGCCAGCCGACAGCGCTCAACCTCGTTGGTCTCCAGGGTGTGGTCGAATGTTGCGAGGATGGCGTCGGTGCCGGTGTCCAGGACGGCGTCCGCGTCCCCCACGTTGGCCACCGTCAGGAACCAGCCATGCAGCAGGGCCAGCGTGACAAACGCCCCTGCGCAGGTGCGGGCGGCGCGGCAGGGGCGTCAGTTGTCGTCGTCAGTCAACCGGAGATTCTTGCACGGCTTGCGTAACGAATTCGTTATTCGATTCTTTATTCTTGCCAAACGAATTCGTTAAATGTTTCCGTGTCTTCGACGGCGTGGAAACATTGCGCAAGTAGGCTTCATGGAAACATGTTGCCATCTTGTCTTGTACGTGCAGGATGCGCTTTAGGTGCACCTTAATCGAGTTGGGCCCCGGCGTGGGCTGCAGGACGCGTGCGCAATGGCGGAACAACTTGCCGAAATGAAGGAAGGAATATACTCGGAGGAGGGGGTTCGGGTGGACGGGGGTGGGTGCGGGTGGGTGGGAGCGTAAGTTGCGTGGGGGAGTGTAGGAGGGATAAAGCTTGCAAGCTCAAGCACGCCTTCAGTAAATTGATTGTATCGCAATGATTGTGACAAGGAGGAGTGTTGCTCATTCCAATTCTTCCCACCAGCCCTCCAGAAATTCAAGTTGCTTACGGCATTTTGTTCATGGATGTGCCGATGACACTAGGATCAAAATTGCACCTTGATGTGTCGAACAGATGCCGCCTCTTAATAGAAAACACTAGAACAGCACAGTGCCTGACCATTGCCAATGCCAAGGCTACAACGTTTGTGGTTGTCTGTGGGGAACAGTGTAGCTCCCACGTATGCGGGAAGGCATGGACATGACATGCGGGAGCATTTAATGCGTCACTAACGATCGGGGTAGGAATTTTACCAGATTCTGTAGCTGCAAGTTCACTTATGTAGCTGTCGTGGATTCTCCTGAAAGCCTCGATCACAGCAGACCTCGTGTCCTCCGCGAACTTTCGGAAATCTGCAACACGCCACAATTAATTAGGCACTCATGCGGATAATGGTGAGCATGAAGGCTTTCCCTGCTGCAAAGACACATGATTTTCCCGTCTCTTCAAGCGTGGAAGGGGACAGGGCACCTCGCCTTGGGGAAGGGCGCTCAAATTTAAACGCTCTTCCCTAGTTCCCCAGTTCGCATTTAAAACTGCGATCTGATTACAGAATTTCTCTTGTGACGACTACACAGATGATGCCATCGTACGAGCTCAATTCGAGGGGAACGGTGACATCCCCATCCAATCATGTCTGTAAAAGCTGGGCTTGGAAGTAAAACGAAGGTCGGCAGTATTAATGTGCCAATATTGGCACTGGCCACCTGCATTACCCAGGGATCAGTCCATATTATGCTGAAAGCAATATAGTGAACCCCGTCAGTAATTTCGTGACGGCAAGCAAATGGCAATTTCACTTGATTCAACTCTGTGCTGACGGCGTGGAGAATTGCAGCCCGCGATAGCACAATGATTTGCGTAGTATACCATATGCCTTCCATATTGTAACGTGACATTGACCTTTAATAGCGACCCCTGTTAAGCGACTTGTCTAGCTTTGACGAACCCCTGAACGGCTTGTCACAGTTCCCGTAGTACTTTATTTCGCTGCGACAGGCCCCAGCGCCAGCGACCTCCAAAAGCCAGTATGGCCCGGTTAGGCCACGTGCAGCGTACCCCCCTCACCGGCAGCCATGGTACCCCATACCCCCGCGGCTAGGGTACCCTTTACAATGGCGGCCAGGGTACCCCCTGTACTGGTAGCCAGGGTACCCCCTGTACTGGTAGCCAGGGTACCCAGTACACCGGCGGCTGGGGTACCCCCTACACTGGCGGCCATGGTACCCCCTTCACCGGCAGCTTAGAGTACAATGCAATGGTGGGCATATTTGGCGGCGTTTATGGAAGCGCACGGGACGCCTTGAGGGGCTTAAACTACTGCTAAACTGCGTTAAGTACTGCTGAAGCAGCTAAAGTGCTGTGGGGACTGTAGCGACCCATCTAGGTTTAGCGACCCCTCAGCCGGCTTGTGAAGGGAGGCTCGCTAAACCGGGCCCCTCACTGCAATAAAGTGGAGCAGCCACAGCTGCAATGCGAGAGTCTCTGGAATGCTCGTGGTGTCCAGCGGCCCTGGATGCGTGAGTCGCTGTGGCGGAAAACCAACATTTGAGGCCATGTGAACTGAGCGATGTCGCCATTCCGGCTGTGGCCACGATGCGGAGCTACCCCCAAATAACGGTCTGTCGAAAATACGGACAAAAATCGCAACGCTGACACTTCAAAATGTGCAAGGGTATAGTAGGTTACGTTACTGGAGGTGACCGCTATCACAAGCAGCCACCTGGCAGCTGTCGCATGCCCTAAAGTCCGCTGCTGGCATTGCCCGGGACAGCTGTCCCAGCAACGGTGACCACATTAGGGCACGGTTGCGTGACAGCGCGTACCACCAATACCCAACTGCGATCTGACAATGTGGGGCGCCAGCGGTTCCCTGCCGCACGATCAGCCGTCTCAGGCGACGACGACCGCTAGATGGAGGCACACCGCTATCCAGATTCCAATACTGTACAATAGTGGCAGGGCCTAAAGGGCACGCTGTCGTCGTGCACCCCACTCCTTGAGAGTGTCCCGCCTGACCAAAAGCAGTGCACGCCCTGGGTCATGCGCCAGTCGATCTCCAATTTTGCCCCACCGGCCCCAGCAGGCCCCCACGTTCCGCCCGCGCCGCCCGAGGCGCCGGTCGTCACCTTCGGAGTCGGTGTCCGGCAGGCGCCCGTCCGGCAGGAGGGGGCGGAGGGCCGGCCACAAGTGAGCCCTGACATAATCCGACGCAGCGCTTCCAGCGTGCCCGTCGCACAGGCAGTAGAGGCGCCAAGCGCTGCCGCCCTCGACCCCCGTCGAGCCACTCCGAGAGAAGAGCGCTCCCTGCGTGAACATTTCCCGACTGTCGCTTGCTGGGACAATCTCACGATGCCTCAAAAAAGCGTCCCCCGCTCCCCATCACGATAGCGAACACAGGAACGCATGTTGGGCAGACGCCCTGTGGCCTGTGCTGCCGAAGATATGGCTAAAGGCATACTGCCTGAAAGGGTGTGCGCGGAACAGATGAAAAAGGAGGAATGGGGAGGGCTGAGATATTCCCTGCGTCGACCGCCGGACCACTAGTAAATTCACGCGCATGGGAGGCATAGACGGGCCAGGAGAGCATTAAGGCGCGGGGCCGCGTTTCGTGGGCATCTCAGCAGCGCTTCCTTATTTTTGTGACCGGAAGCTATTCAGCTGCCTACCTCACCGTTCGCTTCCCGTCGACATGCGGAGTGCTTTAAATTTGTGCTCGTGTCTGGTGGGCGACCCCTGACAGCCCTGGCGGCTGGGAGCGCACCGACCTTCGCCGCTCGCCCAATGGCGCGATGCCTCGAGGCGCCCCCGGATAGGCCCATGGTCACCGAGCCGCGCGCCCCGCGAAGCACGGCACGATCCGGGTCTAACCTCTTGAGCTCCCGGCACGTCAGCACAGCCCCAGCAGCACTCGAAAACCGCGCTTTCGGCCCCAAGCATCGCCAGAGCGAGCAGGAATGCTGGGAAGACCGGCGAGCAGCGAGTCGCTCCACGGTCCTTGACGCTGAACCAAGCGTTGGTCGCGCCGGCGAAAGTCCAACTCGGAGAATCAGGAGCTAGCGCCCTTGTTCCAACACCTTGGACTACTCTCGCGCGCCGCCGCCCAGCGACGGAACAGGTACCCCAGCGTGTGGGGTTCGATATCACAGGCGGGAAGGTGGTGAAGCGGGGTGCAGGCGGTTCGTGCGTCGCTTCTTTCTGCTTTTTGCCGCTGCGATGTCCTTGTGGGTGAGCTGGTGCGAGTTTGGCCCGATGAGACTGGAGCGCACTCGGGCCCCAGTCCAGATTCCGATGTTGTGGATGCATGCATGTGCGACGAGAGGTACAGTATCTGGGCACGGTTTTGTACCTGTTAGGACTGTCGCCAAAATGCGCGACATGCGTTAATCGTATTGCGCGAGGAGCACGTCAGGGCGGTGTTTCCAGATGAGGCTGGCAGCCCCCCATGATCCACTACAGAAGCCATGCAAGCAGTGGACGGACGTGCATGAGCCCACTTGCGCCCTCGTCCCACGGAAGGAAGAGACCGTACGAGCCAATCAGGCCCTTTCACAGTGTATTCCCACATTTGCAAATGTACTTCGGCTCTGACGTCTCCCATCGGTCGATGGTTCAAACTAATCCATGGCTGCAACCTGTTCGCGGCGCACTGCCAATGAACGTGTTCATTTGCAGAAGTGCACCTCTGTGCTTGAGGCGTCATTGACAACGAGTGTGTGCGGCTGGTCTCCATCAACGACACCTGATTCACTGTGTGGAATGACCAGACTCCCTCGCCACTACGAAATTCAATTGAAATATGACTTTGGCTGCACAATACTTTGTACTGAGAAATGGTTGAAGACATGAGGATTTCGTTTGTATGAAAGATGGCTTGGTGAAAGATTAACGTGGTCTGAAGGGCAAGTGGCCGTCGCTGCGCTGGTCTCCCTTGATGTGCGGCTGATTTTGGATCTGTCCAAACGCCTGCCGGCCTGCCTGTAAACAAAATTGCAAGGAATGAGTGCCACATGCAAGTGGCACTCATTCCTTGAAGCTCAGGATCAATTCGATCTGCGATACACCCTGAACCATGCCAGTGGAGCCCCGCGGGATTGTGGTTAGCCTCAAATGGATGGATGTCAGTGAAGCAAACAAATGAGCCCTTACTTGCAATTGCCCTTTAGAATTGGTGTCGAGCGTAATGGCGCAGTTTCCAGTCTGCCAATTTCAATTGCTTCTACGGATCCTATATGAAGAACATGGAAACCATTTTTTTGGCATGCCTATTACGGCCAATTTTGAGCTGACCACCGCAGTTTTCTCTAAAGGCGAAGGGGCGAACTCTACTTGGGAGGGAACAGTCATAACCTCTTTCATTCTAAATGGATAGACAAGCTAATACACAATACTAACACATATGTTCATATATATATGAAGACCGGGACAGAGGGGTGCCATGGCACTTGTGGATATCCGAGGTTCAAGGGAATTGAGACCATGTGTGTTTGAAGTTCTGAAAGCCTCTGCACGTGATGTCATTAGTGCACTTTTGTAAAAACTCCAATTCATTTTCTGTGTTTTTTGCATATGTCGAAGCTGTTATATGGGCTGGTGCGAGTCCCACAATGCCTACAAATTCGTGCTGCGGCCGGGAAGATAGGCCTGTGTGCCGCAGCGCAGTGAATGCCAGTTTGGGAATGGCCACAAAAACCACCACCAAGATCATCACGGAGGGCGCAATTGCTGTGGCCAAGATCGCCATGGCGCTCAATGTGGGCCCCACGAACAGCACCAAAACACCCTAGTGTCATTCCAGCATTGTGCAATAGGATAAAGAATGGTTGTCCCAAACTTCAACCACTTTGGACCAGCTTGCGCCTGCTCGACAGGTGAACAGCCTGTTTTGCAATCGATGGTTGTAGGCAAAAGCTGGGAGATGCGCCATCAAGCGCCATCATGGCGGCGTCACAGGGACAGGGACAGGGGCACCGGGTCATGGATGGCAACGTCGATTGGAACCTTCAGACAGCGGGTTACACAACGTTAAGGGATGGATGCCAATAATGGGTATTGCGACAGGCACAGCTGCCAGGAAAGCTACTGTAGATGTGACACCCCAAAGCAGCCAGACTGTATTTGTGGCATGGGAGGCACACGGTGGCCATCGCAATGGCAAACATAGAATCTGCGGTATATCCCATCCACAGCTTCTGAAGAATGGTTTTGAGGCCCAGAGTTCAGGTCGCTTTCAATATGACTGAAGCAAGCATGATGTTGGTTGACTGATTGATTATTTGGGGGAGACAAACAAATTTCGAGAAATTATCGTCTCATTCTATCCCTGAGTATTGTCTTGCAAGGCAATATTCAATTGAATACTATTGAAAGCCCTTCATGGTGATCGCCATCTTGGCTGATAGATCACCGGCTTGAAGTAATGTTCTCACAAAAATACACTTGCACGTTGAGTGTCCACAACCCCTTCAAATTACAACCATCACCAGGACTGAGTCCGCGAGTCTCCCTATCCATCTTCAATGACACCGTCATTTACACAGATCGGCCTTTTCCAATTTGAAACAATCCGATTCTGGGCATTGTTGGAAGTGCTGAACAATCACCCCAAATCAAGGCAGGTGATTCTTTGAGATACCACTCACAACCGTCTTCTTCAGTCAGAAAAGGTCTTACACATCTCACAAATACACAACAACAACACTTCACGTGATGGTCTGTCCGTTCAACCCCACACAACCACTTTCCCCAACTTCACCGTTCACTACACTTCACTCCCAACACCAACTTTTCACTTTGGTGAGCGATTCCCAAAACGCCACACCGTCCAGCCCCACCAGTCGACACCAACGATGGATTGCGCCTTGGCTACAACTCCACAGCGCTCTCTCACAGCTCTGGCTGTTGTCTGTTTGGGGTGGCTCATGGCGCTGGCTTTGGTGCTGCCCAAACTGAACAAAAGCCAGCCCCTATACCCCAGTTGTTGGGCATCACAACACCCCCCCTTCGGACTCTCCACATGCCACTTCCCACAGCGAATTCGCAGTGCGTTGGGCCCTCTTCGCAGCGTCCTGAGTGAATTCCCAACGTCGGATTCTATCACATTATCATTCACCCACTTTGGTACCCGGTTACATCACCTTTCTCCAACCGTTTCACTAAAAAACATCACCACCCCAAGAACCAACGCACCCCCTCCTCTAAAGCCTCTGTGCATGTGCACAGACCACTCCTCATGCATCTGATAGGCGTTACAATATCCTTGCCTTATCACCTTCACTTTCCCTTATCAAACCGTTTCCCCCCTTTTTCTATCAATCACAAGCACTCCTTGCAATTACATTTCACAACGCTCGGCCAATTCAGGCATCGTACATGACTTTCCTTTCTCCGAACTGCTCGGAGCCTCTCTCCCGCGGTATTTGCCCGCTCGCGAGCACTGCCCGCCCGCGCTCGACAAGGCACAGCATGGGCGCCTCTTCCTCCAGCCCCTGCGCGCCGCTCCATCCCTTCGGACCTGCCGGGGGAATGTGCATCCCCCTTTTGGAGGGGTTTCCTAGGGCCCTCCGGACGGCCATGGAGGCCCACTCCACGGCCGACCCTCGCGCCCCCACCGCCTCCATCCGGAGCTCAGCAAAGAACTCCCCGATGGCTATCTTTGAGGCCACTTGAGTGGCCAGGGACGATCGGCCCGTGGCCTCCGGACTGCCCGCCTCCGCCCTTTCACGTAAGGCGCCTTCCTCAAACGCCCTCAACAACGCATCGATCTTCCCCTCGATGCGCGCAAGGGTTATTTCATTCCGCGCCACCCTTCCGGCCAATTCTGCCGCACTCGCATTGCTCAGCGCCTCCACCATTCCGCCAAAACGAGCTCCATGGCCCGGCACCTCTGCCTCACCGGCCAGCTGCGCATCGGCTTCGAAAGCCATTCCCCAAGGTCCGCCACGTCCGGCCATTGTCGCCCAACATGATCGTCGGCGGTCGCTTCTTTCCGCGTACTCGCACCGACCGGCCGCGCACTCCCAGGCAAGTCGCGCACACAGGAAGCATCCAAGGCGCAAGCGGCAGCTGACTGCCCACCGGATGTTGCGCCACATTAACCGGGTAATCAAAACCGTTTAACGGTTTGATTAACTGGCCGTGAATCGCTACGAATTGACACCTCAACAGCTTGTCGTTTCGGTGCATTTTGTTGACTGCATAACCAGTGTGCTCTCAGCTTCATCCCTGATCAGTCAGACGGTCAGAGACACACTCCATTACATGTGGAGTTCATTGTGTCTTGCATTCGCTTTGTTCCAGGAACTTTAACAATACATACATGCCTCCATGTAAGTGCAGGGTGCTTTTCCTTGATGCATGGGGCATTTCTGCACCAAAAGATCTTCAGCAAGAACGAACGCCTGCACCTCATGTTGCTAAATCAACAATTTAAAGACGGTTGCAATTAAGGCACAACCGATACAGGCGCGGCCACTCTTTTTAACTATGTGCATGATTTCGGTGGCCTTTTGCTCCTGGTCCAATTTAAGGCAGTGTGGGTGTGAGGTAAGTCCCTAGCAAAGTGAAAACTACAACGATTTGACTATGAAACATCCATCGCCTTTGGTAAGGGTGTATATCCAATGATATGCCTGGAACTGATGCACTTGCTTCATGGCAATATTTACAATTATGGTTTTAACACATTTGTCTGGTGCCTTCTGGGTTGAGTATGGAATTGTGTTATAATTAGTTCATTGGACATCAGAGCGTTCGCATCACAATATGGTACAACATTCTCGGCAATGGATGGTACAAAATTAACGAAGTGTAAATACAGCAA